CCTCCTCCTCCTCCTCCTCCTCCTCCTCCTCCTCCTCCTCCTCCTCCTCCTCCTCCCATCCGGCAGAGCCCCATCCGGCAAGGCCCCACCTCTGAACTGCTGAGCTGGCCTCTGGCACCGCGCGGGTCGTAGCCTGGAGCGGATCGTGGCTCTCCAGCAGCGCTGGCCGCTGGGCGGCGGCCGAATCTCCGGGCCACTGCTGGAGGCTTGGGAACGGCCACCAACACCAGCACGGGGGGGGGGCCCTCCACCGGGGAAAGATGACCCTGGGCTCCGATGCTGGTGCCAAGGAAGCCCAAGCGCTGCCACCATCGCCGAGATCGGGAGCATCTCCCCTCGGTGGAGGCCCGTCGCCGATATTGGCGCCGGTGTCAACCTCCAGGCCTCCGACGCCGACACGGCGCGGCATTCCGCCCTGACCGCCCGCGCCAGGGCCGCCGCCGCCGCGCGGGCACAGCGGGAGCCTGCCGTGGGCCTTTGAACGAACCGCGCCGTCGAATTCTGACCTCGAGCGCCCGGCTGCGAGGGATCTGCGGTCGAATTCTTCGCCGCGCGGGCTCGAGCGGAGGGGCAGGCGACGGAGGGATGGGTAGCGGGAGGAGGACGAAACGATGGCATCGAGGATCACCCTGACACTGCCCCCAGCCTGAGCCTGACAGGGAGAAGGGCGGGGAGGAGCGGAAAAGAAAAAGTGAGGAGGAGGACAAGTGAGAGGGAGGAGTAAGAAGGAGGGGGGAAGAGGATGAGGAGGAGAAGAGGAGGAGGAGGATGAGGAGAAAGATGATGGAGAGCAAGGAGGATATTGAGGCGGAGGAGCACGAAGAGGACGAATGACGACGAAGAAGAGACGGAAAGCGACGATGAAGACGACGGAAGGAGGGGGAGGAGGAAGAAGCGGAGGAGCAGGAGGGGGAGCAGGAGGGGGAGGAAGAGGAACAGTAGGAGGAGGAGGAGGAGGAACAGCGAACCAGCGAAACGCCGCGCGGTCGAAAAGGCCTGGCCGTCCTGGGGCGGGGCGCGCGGCAGGGCGCAGCCACTCTGAGCGCAAAGTGCCCCTGCTGCACCAGCGGGCGCCGTCAGTTCTGGGTTTGGCTTGCGGCGCGAGCTGTCCGACCCAGGACACCTGCCAGAGGCCTCCAACGTCTCGGAAAACTGAGAGCGGCAGGGTTTCGCAGCGCTGGGCCGCTGAGGGCCCTCGCTGGGCCCCAGGACCGAGAAAACATGCAGGAAGCGTTGCTCAATGCTTCAGACGGCGACACCACTCAAATTCAGCTATATGCACCCGTGGGATGCACAGACAACAGCGGCACGAGAGGCGTATGAGAAGGAGCCGCGCTGCCACAACACCAGTTCCACCCCGCGGGAGCAAGGGAAGCCTGTGTGTCGCAGCTCTGCGTCGCAGCACGAACAGTCCGTACGTGGCCGAAGAAAATATTGTCCACTTTCCACGCGGGAAAGTGGAATTACCAGAACAGACGCATACAAATAAGCGAACGAGTCTGAGCTGAAAACGCCCCCTGAAGCAGAACAGCGCACCAGAGGGGGGTTCGTTATCTTCCTGTCCTGAGTGCTGACACGACGCTGTTCAGCATCGCGGACACGTTCAGAATGGGGGCGGGCGTTACTTGCGAGGGCCCCGGGGAGTCAACGCCGCCCAGCGCCCCTCCCCGAAAACCGCGCCCCACCGAAACAGAATCGAACTTACGATGCAAACCGCGGCAGATGCGAGACCACGAGCGCAATGCCCTTGTGCTCTGAGGAGCTCTGCCACATCTGACAAAGAGGCCCCTGGCTCTATCGCAGCAACCATGCGCCCTGCACTTAAACGAAACAGGCATTCTGGGCGAATCCGAACAGAAAAGCGAAGCACCGCTATGTTCGCGTTCCTCGAAGCTCTTGAAATCCAGACGGGCCCGCCCAGAACAATAATCCAGCGAAGGAGAGCCCCATTTCCATCCACGAGGAGCAGGGTGAGCACGCGCCCCTGGGAACAACTTGGCAAACGCTACACTTCCAGAAACCTCCGATCTGCTGCCAGCAGCGCGGGAAGACTGGCTTCTACTTGATGGGAGAGGAAGAAGGCCAATGTGGAATTTTTACGCAGAGAGAGCTCAGGCCACAACGGAAGAACATTGTCAACCAGAACGCAGTAGGCTCTAGCAGCCCCCATTAGTTTGCCAACGCTGAGCATCTCAGTGGGCCTGACAGGTCAAGCTTCGTTCAGATATCGGCGGGCTTCGGCCTTGACCGCGACATCAACTACCTCCGAAGGCGTCGGCCTTCATGATCATGCAGGAAAATGAAAGCACTGCCTGCGCAACGCTCTGGCAATGGAAACAATCGCGATGATCTCCGCTAGCACGATCTGGAGCCGTATAAGACAAAGACTTAGCAGTCGCATTCTGGGCCCCTAACCTCTCCTAGGCACCCCGCGTAATCCGCGCGCGCGCGGCGCGGGCGGCCCAGGAAAACCCCCAGTAGGTCGCCTAACACGCGCGCAAGTCGCGCGCCAGGGGCGCGCGGACGCGCGCAGCAGCCATGGCGCTGCACAGCGCCGCGCCCCCACGCGCGCCGATCACGCACAAGGCCAGAACTCACATTGGCACGAAGCGGTTCCCTCTGCACCGCGGTCGCCCACTCGTCGCGCGGACGCCCAAAGCACCTGATGTGCCGCTGCGAAGCCGGGATTGTCGGTTTCGGGACGAATGCATCACGGCGGAGAACATCTGCGGCAGGCGCTCGGGCGACCCGCCCGTGGAGCAGCAGTTGCTCCCGCGACAAACGCCTGTCCAAAGTTTGGCAGCCAGCCCCGCGAAGTAACGTTGCCTTCGGCGCACGAGACACACGCGACGAAGGAATGCGCAAAATGGATCTCGAGCAGCGACAATAACAGCCATTCAAAGTTTACTGGTTTCTGCGGCGTTCAACCGCGCGGACTGCGAGCCGAACGTGAGCTTCGAGAGTGCGACGGCGTCGAAGATTCTGAGCTTTCTGGACAAAGAGAGAGAGAGAGAGAAGAGAGAGAGAGAGAGAGAGAGAGAGAGAGGCGTGGCTCCCTGGCCTGGTCAATCCTGCGAAGCCCCCCACCCTTATCCCAGCTTGCGAGATAGCCCCGGCATGATCCGGCTGGCCGCGTAGATCTCATGCCCGAAAAAGTCATGATGTCCTCCATCGGGATAGCGGATAGCGTCCTCGGTCGGCGCCCGGAGAAGAGAACTCCTCCTCGCTCCAACCAGCTGGAATTTTGACCAGTGAAGCGACATGCCGTAGAAACCGCCCACGTGCGCAACATAATCAAACATTTCTGGCAGTCAGGTTGGGCTGCGCCCTGCCAGGAGGGCGTCATCTGCGCATGGGATACAATCCATGCACCCAGCATCGAGATCCCCCCTGACCTCCGGCGAAACTCTGGCAGACGCATCGCGGGCGATCGCTGTCATGGACATCGCGAACGAGATCGGGGACAGCGGGCACCCTTGAGAAATGCCAGACTTTTGCTCTCGGGTGCCCGACTCGATGCGTCGCCGTCGATCACTCTGAAATGACGTTCCAGATAAATGTGCTGCACCATGCGAACATACTTCTCAGGTAGCCCAAACCGGCGGAAGGCCACCATGAGCGCATCCACGTTGATAGAGTCAAACGCTTTCTGCCAGTCTAGGGCCACCATGCCGATTTGCCCTGGCCCCCAAGCTAATTCCAGACCTATGCGACGGCGAACCATGAAGATGGTGTTGCTGGTGCCCTGGCCAGCGCGGAAGCCGAACTGCGTGTTCGCGAGCCGCCGCCCCGCCCCTGCCCGCTGCAGTCTCTTCAATATGACGGTTGCAAAAAGATTGTAGGTTACGCAAACGAGACTGATGAGCTGGCAATTGTCGCAGAACGTGACGTCGCCCATCTCGCGCAGGGCCATCACGTTTGCGAAGCGCCAGTCCTCGTCGATGCCCCCTTGTAGCCAACATTCGTTGCGCGCGCGACAGCCAGGTGAGCCCTTCTGCCTCGTTGGCAACGGCGCGCCAGCATTCGCTATTCACGCCGTAAGGCCCACAGGCCGTGTTATTCTTCAAGCCGCGAAGAGTGTCGCCAACTTCTGTTCCTGCGATATCCCCCAAATCGCCCGGCAATTCGTTCCCGAGTGGCTCTCGCGATTCTCCTCTCTTGAATGCGCAGCGCGTCATTTTTGTAATTCGAATGTATATACTTACGCATTAATTCGGTAACCAGATAGGTTAAACCCTAAACGTTCCAGGTCCCGATCGTCGAAACTCCTGGGCGCCGCCGGCCACGCCCCCGAAATCCCGCCGACGGGCTCTCGCTGCTGCCGGGTGAAATTCCCCGTCTGGATCGCAGGACCCTGCGACGTGCAAGCCTTGGGACATCTCGCCATCCTTGTCCTTCCTATAGACTCCGAGTGGCGCCGCCTCTATCATCGCCCACTCTGAGGCCGTCGCATACAGCCCTGGAACCCCCAGCGACCAACACTGAAGTAGAGGATCTGGACGCGTGCTTGCCGGTTGCGCTGCGGTTTGCGATGGCCATGGTCTTCATCGCACCCATCATCGTGGTCTCCACCTCCCCCCTGTCACGTAGTTGCCACACCCCCTCGTGACCTCCTGGAAGTTGCCCTTGGCAACCGCATGCGTTTTGAATATTTGCGCCTCCTGCTCGACAGAAGCGGCGGCGTGCCTCGCATCGAACGCCGCCTGCTTTGCCGCCGTCGCTTGCTCCCTGACTTCCATCGCCTCCTTTGCACTCTTCGTCTCATGCCGACCTCTTCCGCCAGGTCCGCATCCGGGTCCGAGGGGTCGACGGGCTGGCCGTCGTCGGCGTTCTCCATCCCCGCCGACTTGTTGCCCAGAGCCCCAGGGCTGCCCGCCCGAGGCTTGAGCTCGCGGCCCTCTGGGCGCGCCGCCGCCATGCCGGGCGCGCCGCGGAAGCGGGAGGGAAATGCAGCCGGCGCGCCGGCTGTTATACTGCAGCCAATACAGGAATGGCCACGAAATCCCCCGATTGACGGGGGCCCCGGGGCCGTCGGTCTCGAGCGCGCCAAGCGCGCTTCAAAGCATCGACGCCTTCTGCGGCTGGGCGCGGCAAGACTCGACGGAGCGGGCGACAGTTCCGCGCGAGCGGCCTCCGCGCGCGGGTCAGAAGCGGCTATGCGCCAGGGCAAATCTCCCTGGCCAGACGGCCGCGCCCCGCAGCCTCGCCGGCCGCGCATATGGCTCCACGCGAAGAGGCTCGGACCCAGCCCCTCCGGGCTGGCGCGAACATTGGGCTGGAACGCGCCGACCGCAGGGGAGGTGGAGACGCACAAAGCCAACTTCCCTCGGGCTCCGGAAGAGAGAGGGGCCAGTGGCAAATGCGCAGCGTGGCAAGCCGCATGTCTGCCCGCCAAAGCGGATCGCCCGACAGCGCGCCGACGCCAGCGAGAGACCTTCCGGGAGGGAACGGTCGCCTAAAAAGCCTGCAACCTCATAGCCAGGAGAACTTGTCCGATGACCCCCGAGACGCCGGCGCCACATGTCTGCCGCTCGAGGCGCCTAGCCTGCCCACACAGAAGCGCCAACCTAAACCTGAGCTCGGAGTCGCGCCCAGGCACGCGAGCAGAAGCTCCAGCACTGTCGCCTGCGCCTAAGGCGTGGTCCGCTTCCGCCACCCTTCCGCCGAGCTCCCCGAGGGCCGGCGACGAGCTCATGGCCGCGCTGCGACGGGGGGAAGGGGGGCAATCTGATCCGTCGCCGGCCACCCCATGGAAACGGATGCCACATGGACATCCAAATCGATCGCCCCATAATGGGCAAGCGTGCCGCAAAGAAACGCCAGCGAGGACTTCCCGTCAAAAAGACCCCCCCACACTCCGCCCGGACAAGCGCGCCCCCAGACCGCGCCTGAAGCGCCGCGAAGTGCTCCGGCAGCCCAATGCCGAAGGGGACGTGTCTGCCCCCATGATAGGGCACGGGGGCGACGAAGACGCCCCCGCGCCACGCGCCACGAGAGCGACGCCCCCATTCGGTCTGCGACCACCAAAAGGTTCCAAGAGTAGGGCAAACAGGACGGCGCCGAGCTGCCCTGAAAGCTTGCCCACAGCCTCCACCAATTCAACAAGAATGCCGAGAGTCACTGCCCCCTCGTCAAAAAGCAGATGGCAGCGTGAGCAATCGCAGCCGTCGTAGGCGACAGCCGAGGATCCCCCGCGCTTCTCACTGACCACCCTGAAGTCGCCCGGGGCCCCCCCGAGAGAAGGGCAACAAAGATCCTGGGACCTGGCGCCACTTCCACTGGAAAATCAGAACCCGAGCGCACCCTCCGCGTCCGACGGCCCGACGAATCCCCACCAAGCGGCTCTACTGGACGACGCCGCGGCGACGCGCCCAGGCGCCGGAGGGTTCTGAGCTTTTCTAGGCGGGGCCCCTAGGGGTCCGGGCCCTTTTCCCCTGCGGCCGGCTCTTCGTCCTAAGCGGGCTGAGCTGTTCTGGCCCGCGCGGGCGCCCGAATGCGAACGCAGTTGGCGCCGAGTGGTTGCTCCGATTCTCTTCTCCCCAACAGTCCGTTTCTCGACGTCCGTCATGGCGCGAGGAGGCGGCGCTCCTGGGGCTGGCGCTTCAGGCGCTCTTGGCGGGCGCGTTGTCCATGGCCCGCTGGGCCACAGGAGGCGCGCAGCGGGCACGGGGCGTTCCTATGGACTTCCCCTCTACGCTGGGCTTGAATTGTAGGATGCATCAGATGTCCAGTCGGAGTGGCGGGAGGATGTCAGTGCTCGCTGGGCTTCTTGATCATGGGGAAATGGTAAGGACTTTGTCGTCTTGGTCATGGCGCAAACACTATAAGGCACTCGTGTCCCAGGGGACATGTTGCCACAAAAGGATCGGAAGCCAAGCGCGAAGGTGGAGGACATCATCAGCAAAATTGCAGTCCACCTAGTCAACAGCTTGCTGCTACATGTCCGCGTGCAGTTGATCAGCTCGCGGCACTTTTGAATCGCAGAGGAGACCAGTCATCAGAGGAGGCCAGTCATCGGCCGTATTCGTCTCAAGAGAGGCTGGGCTCCGTCGCGCGCAAGTTCCCGTCTGCTCGCCTCAAAACTTCGTCAGTCAGAACGCGCACAACTGGCTGCATCAAAATGTGAGGGGCATTCCTAGGTTCTGGCCGCACTGGAGCTCGTGGATGCGCAAGGAGCTCGTGGAAGCTCGTGGAAGCTGGATGCGCAAGGAGCTGAGGGCAATCATAAGTCCTTTGTCCTTGCCGTCGCAGCTGGGCACGGCGCAGGTCAAGCACGAGCGCGTCGTGGCCGAGTCTTTTCGGTGTCAGACACTTTGGACGGCAAGCTTGGCACGGCGTTCGCAATCAAGCAAAACGTAAGTTGTTGGCTGAAGACAAGGACGGGCTGTTCGAGCGGGCGAAGGTCGCGGCCGACAAGATGCGCGGCGAGCGCGCCCAGCACCTCGAACGCATCGCGGCCGAGCTATAGCTTCCCGACCCAGTGGGTGATGGCGGCGATGCCCCCCGTGCCCCCGCTGCGCCTGCTGCCCCTCGCGCTTCCGATGCGTCTTCAAGGGGGGGGGGGGGGGGGGGGGGGGGGGGGGGCAGCTGCCAGCGCGAGAAGCATGGGGCAGGTTCGCGTCGCGACGACTTCTGCGCTAATTTCTGACACAGCGTGGATCGCTCAACCTTGAACGCCAGCGCTGGCTCTGCTCATCGAGATGTGTGGGATCGCGTCTGGGGAGCCAGTGCTGCCCATCGATATATATAGATATATATATATATATATATATATATATATGGAGATGCGTCTGTTGGGGGCCCAAGGCGCGATGGATCAAGGCGTTGATGCCAGAGGTGCGCGTCTCCGCCGTCGCCCTTCTCGGAACGTTCGCGATCACGCGGAGAAGGTGGCGCTGAGTGCTCTACAGTTGCCGGCGGACTGTCGCCGTCACTGTCCACGGGGCCAAACCAGAAAGGATAGTCGGTGCAAAGACGCAGGTGAACACGTGCTGCAAAGCGTGTGCTCGTGAGCTCCCGTCTGCACTTTAGGAGGTCGCCCACGCAGCTTTGATGTGGCTACGTGTTCTTTCTGCCTGTGCTGCGGCGCCGAAACTGAGTGACTGCCCGAGGTGCTTGAGCGACCCACCATGCGGCAGCGCGGGCCTCGAACATGTAAGTGTTGGCTTTCCTGGTGCGCCGCGTAAAGATGCCCATGATGTCGGCTCCCGGGCGAGGGCGCGCAACCTGGGCCATGTCCATCAACGCGGTGCGGAGGTGCGGGGGCGTCTGGCAGTTCAAAGCGCGCCGCCAGAAGCGCAGGTTGGTTGAATTAGATCCGCTCGCGTGCCCACACTTTACCCCCGACCGCGTCTCCCGCCAGGCTCGGATCAGCAGCGCCATGATGCATGGAAGACTGGCGTTGGACGGCAGGGAGGTCAAGGGATCGCCGTGCTTCGTGTCTCGCCGACTGAATGCACGACTGGCGGCATCAGCTGAAGGGCCCTGCCTCCGAGGAGAGCCCTTCATGGATGGCCCCGAGGCCCGAGGCTGGCCCCCAGGAAGCACGCCGGCCGCCCCCGCGCGCTCCGTGGCGACTTGTCCTCCTCCTCCTCCTCCTCCTCCTCCTCCTCCTCCTCCCCCTCCTCCTCCTCCTCTTCCTCCTCCTCTTCCTCCTCCTCCTCCTCCTCCTCCTCCTCCTCCCCCTCCTCCTCGCGCGTGGCCGCGGCGCCTCGGTTTCCGCCGCGGCCGCGCCCCCCTAGCGCCACAGCTGGGCGCGCGCGACCTGGGCGAGGGCTTCGGCCTCACTCCTGGTCAGAGGCCTGAGGAGGCGAGCACGTCTGGCTCGCAACTGTGCGCAAAGAAGACAGAAAGCAACGGGCACCTCGAACCTCTGGGCCGACGGTGCCAAGAGCCCTAGTTTGTCGATCCCATCCCACCCAGGCTCCACCGCCCCCTCCACAACGATAGTGGTTACTAGCTCCGCCAAGACAGGGCATCGCCAGCAGTGTCGCATGCAGTCGGGTTGGGCACAGCCAACTACACAAGTCGACCCGATCTGCTGAAACCGTTGCTGGGTCAACCATGCTTTTGACAGAGTGCAGAGCATGGCGAACGCGTGCGATACTTTCATTCGGCACATATTTTGGCTGACGGCGCCCCAATCTACACGGAAGATCTTTTCTTCAAGCTCGGGGAACCAACTTCGGGGCCTCCGAAGAAAGAGAAACCGCAAGGCGTCCGACGGAAAAAGGATGGCCGTCGCTGAGGCCTGGAGGGCACGTTGGATCCTCAAGCGCGGGGGGCGCCGACCAGCTCGACTAAGCACTGCGGCCTCAGAACTCAGACGGTGGACCTCGGAATATCCAGGAAGAAAATGAGCCAGCTTCGGGTTCTCAGGAAAGCCTCTGGCAGCCTCTTGGAGCCTCTGACACAACGCAGGTCCCCCCCACCAAGTCGGAGACCACTCCCCCCTCAGCACGCCCACGATCGGGAGCTTGCGGATGGCCTGTTCACGAAGCCGGCGGGCGAGAGGGGGCCAGCACGTCGCAAAGGTAGAGAGAGCAGCTCTGCCGTGCGCGGCGTAGGCGCCGAGGGTGGCGCACGCAAGTTTCGGGCCCCCCCACTTGCTCATCCCAAACCATCCAGTCCGACTGAGGGCGCAGTGCGGGAAGTGGAAGATCCGAGCCAGCATCGCCACCTCCTGCCCCAGTAACTTCACGGGGGGAAATAACAACTGTGCAACATACGTCGGCACCGTCGCGCACCAGTTGTTATAGAGAACTGCAGCAAGAGCGGTTGGCGTGTTAGCTCCAGCTAGTAGGTGTCCTCTTTCCCGCCATTTCCCTAGAGGCCCCGCCCATGATTTTGCAAAGGAGTTCGGGCCCACCCACATCCCCAGGTACTTCAGGTTCGGGACAATCACAAAATCAGCCCAAGACGGAACGAACTCCTCCAGAGCTCGACGGTACACTGACGCTAGCTCCTCACTGAACGGGCCACAGAGCGGGGTGATGAAGCATTTGCACGTTTTCAATATGAGCGCGGCCAGCCGCTGGGCCCAGCTGAAGATTCGGAAGAGGACGGTCAGGTACTTCAGTCGCATGATCACCCCGCCGATGTCACCTGCGCAAGCGAGGATCACACCCCGCGACATGCCAACGAAGCTCCGCTCGAAGTCCAGCAGGAACGGATTCAACCTTGCAGCAAACAAAGCACCGCTAGCAGGGCACCCTTGAATGATACCTGACCAGATGGTGAAGAGCCACACCGTAGCTCCGCCGAGGGACCCAAAGCAGTGAACATTCTGATAGAGGATCCAGAAGAACCGCTCCAGGGGCCCAGGGAGATTCATTTTCTTAAAAACTTTGTGCGTCCAGGAGTGCGCCGCAGAGGGGAAGGCCTGAGCGAAATCGTACGAGACGACGGCGGGGAGGTTGGTTTCGGCCTGGTCTGGCATCGAGGCGAGTCGAGCGTAGGTGTCTATTTCGATGATGTTCTCTCCGAACTGCCCGCCGACCGCGAACCCCCTCTGGAGCCGACAACTGACCTCGGCCATCTTGACCGAAAACGGGCGCACCACCAGGCTAGTGAGAATCTTGTTCTCCGAATTCTTCAAGCCGGGCGGGCGGAGCGACTGGGCGTCGCGGGCGGCTCCTCCTGCATCCCCTTCCTCCTCTCCCTTAGGTATGAATATGCCCAACATATCGTTAAAACTCGATAACGGGGAGCTCCCATCCAAGATCCACCAAAGATATTCATCCAGCAGCTCCGCTGTCTGAAGTGCAAAGCGCCACGCAGCGCACGGAAGCCGATCGGGTCCAGGTGCGCAGTCCTCCAAGGTCCTCAATCGGACTCTGGTGCCTGAGAGGGCCGGTGGGGGATATCCGAGAAGTCGAGATTGCCTCCGAAACGGGTCAGGCATTGATCAGCGGGACCTTGGAGCACCTGCTTGGGGCCAAAGACGTCACCCCAGTAGCTGCAGATCGCCGAGGACATGGATTCGGGCGTCGTCGCCACTTCCCCACCTAGACGGATACCTTTCAAGTGCAGACGGCGGTCGAAGGGCGCCCAAATCGCAGCCCGTTTTTGAAGGCGGCGAAGCTGTTGGCGACGTTTACGACGGAGCTTCTCAGGGGTCTTCTCATTGAGATTCTCTTTGATGGTGTTTTGTTGGGCCTCTAAGTCCGCCGTCTGCAGCTGGTCAAGGTCCGCTGCAAACTTATCAGGATCGAGAAGCCAAAGACGTCCGCTGCACACGTCGTAGACTAGAACAGCACGTGCACTCGAATGCGCCTGCAGAAGGATGGAGCCTAGCTTCGCATCTTGCCTCCAGACAGCACGGGCGATGCTTCGGCACAGAATGGTCCGACCAAGTCTCGAGGACGGGTCATGATGAAGAATAGCATTACGTGCGAATATGGCTCCTTCATAAGATACTTGAATGATTCTACCTTCAGCGGCGGAGATAAGCCTTCCCAAGACACGGCCTTCAGGTGGGCCTCCATGAAGTCCCTGAAGTACGGGGTGCCAAAGAGCTCTTTGGGGATGGGGCGATCTTGCTCTGGGGTCTGCGGGGTACTCTTGAGGTCGACGGAGACAGGGGCGTGGTCCGAGAGGTCCCGATGGCAGATGGTTTCGACGACGCATTACGGTGCCCCCCCCCAATGCATCCAATTGAATCAAGCCCCACCCTGGGAAAGACACAAAGATCCGCTCTATGATGTTCGTGGAGTCATTTGCCAAGCAATAATGAGTTGGGTCGGGTTGCTCAACCTCATCCATCTTGCTGAGCAGTGCCTGCCAAACAGGGCCCCGGCGAGCTCTCCACTCGAGGAATCCAGAATTGCCGCGAAACTCACCTCCAGGCGTCGAGGGTGACGGCGGGGTATTGCTGATATTGAAATCGCCAGCGACCACGACGAGAGCGCGCTCAGGAGCACACTTCGCTAGCTGAAACTCGAGGTCGATCGCTTGGGTAACCTTCCTTTTCTCATCCCTGGAGAGCCCAAAATTGTGAACATTGTAGTGCGATAGCCAGCAGCCCCCAGACTCGCCAAAGCTCGCAACCACGTTCAACACACAGCCTGGAACCAGTTCTTTAACTTGGAAGGAAACTTGAGCACCCAAATCAGGAAAGAATGTCAGCAGGCCGCCAACATTCGTGCTCTGCGGAGATCTGGACGACCCACACGACATGCATGCTCCTCTGGTCCCAATATTCTGCGTCTCGCAAGCGGCGCAGACCCGCGGGGCAAAGGAGTGGAACATATAGCATTTCTTGTGGATCTGGCACATCATATCCTCAGCCTCCGCCAGGGTCCCGTGAACTTCTTGGAGCCCAAGGACCGTGGTGGGGGAGATGAGGGAACGGAGGTAAGAGATCTTCTGGCTGCGGAGGTACATGTCATGGTGTAGCAAAGCCCTGCAGTTCCAGCTCGTGATCGTCAAGCTGGATATTGCGGCCGATGGCCCTCGCCAAGCGGCTAGGAGTTGGCTAAAGACACCACTCCGTCTCGGTGGCGGAGCCGAAGAGGCTGCCCACTGCCTGGCGGAGCCTCTCCGCCGACATCTGGAGCCCCTCAATGTTCTTGTCGCTGAAGTTGATGATCGGGGGCTGGTTGCCAGGCGTCGGTTCGAAGGAGATGAGGTCTTTCCACGAAGAGCTGACCACCCCCTTCCCCCTATCCACGAAGTATTTCTTGTTCGGATACACGTCTGCAATGGCCCGCACAATTTTCTTACATCCGAGCTCCCTGGCCACCTGCTTCGGGCTCTTGTCTGGGCTGATGGACAGCTCCACCTCCGCACCGAGAGGCGACTGCGCAGTAATCTTCCACCAGCCCGCACCGCGACCAGGAAGTCTGAGAGAACTAATAGCTTGCGAAACCTTTCGCGCAGCATAGCCACGCGCGCCCTTGACCACGATCTGGTACCTCGTGTCCGCGGGCTCGCCCTCCACGGTGAACTCGCCCTCCCCCAGGTTGCTGTCCTCCAGCCACGGCTGAACTGCACGTGCGATCGCTGCCTTCGGCATGACCTCGCGCGTCCGCACCATGCTGATCGTCGAGTCGATCTCTCTGTCGAAGCCACCACTGGCCGCCTGGGGCCTCGGAGCCTCCTCACGGCGCATGAGCCCGAGTAAGTCCCTGAGTTCCTGCACCTCCTTTTCCAGCTTGTCGATACGCGTATCATGTACCGCCACCTTGTGTTCAACCTTGCACATCATTTTCTCCACCGCTTTGTCGATCGCTTTGCAATGCTCCGACATCGTGCCACTGAGCGCCGACAAAGAAGCTTGCATGACTCGTAGGCTTTCCATGACGTCGGTCCTCGTGCTGTCGATATACTGCTTGAGTTGCTGCTGCTCTTGATCTGCTGGGCCTTCAGCATGGGGACGGCGACGGCCGGGTAAGTCACTCGACCCACCAGCAACTTCAGTAGTGGCGTGGGCCGTAGTCGCAGTAGCTTCTCCAGAGGAACCGTCGCTGCCCACGTGGAGGTGCTGGGGTGAGGAGCCGCCAGTGCCAGCACGGCCTCCTGCACGTGGGGATTGAGCTCCAGGAAGAGTGGGGCATAGTTCTTCACCTTCAAAGAGGGCAGCAACGTCACGGGCACCATGCGTAGACCGAGGGGTGTCCATGCCGCTGTCCTCGCTGTCACCTGCGTCGACCTTCTTCTTCGGCGGGGCCTCGTCCGAGTTGTTCCGTCCCAGCTGTCGTCCAGAGCGCTTGCCAGAAGGGGACGCGCCCGCGGCCGCGGACATGGCAGCGATCCTTGCGCCCAGAGCGCGATTAGCACGGAAGAGAGGAGGCCTGCAATGAATCGGGGCGCGGGAAGCGCCGTGGCCCCTGGTGGCCACAGAAAGGCGGCTCGGGCCACCTGCGGAGGCAGAGTCCAAAGCTAATCGCTGATTCTCGGACGTCTATAGTCCTTCACAACGTTTAGCCTTGAGCCGAAATGGCTACGGTCCTCCTCCCTCCTCCTCCTCCTCCTCCTCCTCCTCCTCCTCCTCCTCCTCCTCCTCCTCCTCCTCCTCCTCCTCCTCCTCCTCCTCCTCTGCCCAGCGTGGAAACGTTGAACGAGATGCGCGCAGCCTGGCTCAGCACGCGGCGCGCGCAGAGCGGACCGCCAACTTTTTTGTGTGCGGCGGGGCCGAAGGCCCTCTTCCGTCGAGTGCCAGTCAATGACGGTGGATTGCACTCCCGAGCACGCTCGCGGAAACTGTTGAACATCAAAATATTGCGCATGGCCGAAAGCTGGATGGTCGTGGGGCTGATGTTGATCCAGAACGAGTGGGCGCCGGTCGTATAGGAGCCTGCTGAGCAGCTTGTGCAATGACGGTGTAGAACATGTGGGCCTGTAGTTTTCAGACAAGCTGAGATCCCCAGCCTTGCGCATCACAAAAGTAAATGGATTATTCCAACTCGCAGGCGAGTCCCCGTCTGGACGTATCATCTTGCTGCACAAGAGAAACACAACATCAGTAAGGTCCAGAACCGACCTTCAACATCTCTACAGTTGCTCCTTTCGAAATAGAGGGGAGGGGAGGAGGAGGAGGAGGAGGAGGAGGAGGAAGAGGAGGAGGAGGAGGAAAAGGACGATACTACAAAAAAGGTGGCTGCTCGGCCATTAAGGGCTGCGCCACCGCTGCCAGCAACCGGGGTCCTCTGCCCCGGGTCGCCACACGAATTCCGTCTTGCAAAGCGGGGGGGGAGTGCGCGCAGAGATCGGGGGATGTCAATCTGGCCATCGCTCGGACGTCCATTCCCTGTGCTTTTTTCGATTTCGTGCGTGTTTTTTTCGCCAAATGACCAAGGATGCTCCTCGATGGTCCTCGCCGAAGGAACAATGCACACGTCCGAGCGATGCCAAGCAATTGACCACTTCACCGATCCTGGTCAGGCCGATCCTGGGACGAGGATCGGCGAGGGCGAAGGAGAGAAACCTTGCTGCCGCCCCCGAGACGCCGCCCGGGGGGCCCAACGCCGACCCGAGAAACCCGTGCGGATCTCCAAACATTAAAAGCTTATGCCGACTGTTTGTTCTCCAGGTCCTGGGCCGAGAAGGGGGCTGCCCGGGATCGGCGAGGTGGTCGGCTGACGTCGGCGAGGTGATCGGCTGGCGGTCGGCTGACGTCCTCCCCGCAGGGTCAGTGTGGGCCTCCCAGATGGGGTCCGAGCAGGTAGGGTCAGAGGATCGCGCCGCCTCGCAGATGCATCGGGGACGTCAAAAGGATCAACTTGGACGCGAGGCCAGGATTAGAGGGCTCCCAGAGATCCAACGAATTGAAACAGCAGCACGGCAATTTTTCGCCGGTTTCGGCCTCTGGAGGCCCTCGCCGGCCCCCAAGATCGTCAAGAAATGACTCCAGATAAAAAACCGGTCCCAGGGAGTCGGCGGAGACGTCCAGGGGCCCGCATTGAACAAATCGAGACACCAAATATGGCTGGCGTCCGAAAGATTAGGGGCCTCGGGGTCCGAGCAGATGGGGTCGGAGGATCCCGCCGCATCGCCGACGCATCACTGGGGCATCGGCGATGCATCGGCGACGCCGGCGTGGGCAAAATCGGGCTCCGCATCGAGCCGCAAGGCCGTTGCATCGGCGCTGCGGCGCGATCCTCCGACCCCATCTACTCGGACCCCGTTTTGGAAGCGTCGAACACCCAGACCCCCTCGGGCACTGAACGAAAACACGACGGGAGGTTCGGAGGAGGATCGCGCCGCATCGCCGATGCATCGGGGACGTCAGTACGGATGACGTCGGAACCCACATCGGGCCGCATCGCCGATGCATCTGCGATGCGTGGCGATCCCCCGACCCCGTCTGCTCGGACCCCACCCAGGAGCGGGTGTCGGAAGGGAAACGGGTCCTGTGGGAAAATGGCCCCGGAGGAGGAGGAGGAGGAGGAGGAGGAGGAGGAGGAGGAGGAGGAGGAGGAGGGGGAACATGGGCCCCCAGGGCCAGCGCATCTCGGCCGCGAGATCCCTTTTTGGGGGGCAGCGAGGAGGGACGGGCACCCTCGCTGGGCCCGGGAGCGCGAGAGAAGCTCCCTCCTGCTCCCCGAGGGCCCCGCGTCGAAGCTGGGCTGGTGTCCAGGGCGGGGCCCCTCCTGGAGAAGCCCCGCCGCCCTCGGATTCGGACGCCCGAAATGGGTACCGAAAAAATGGGCACGATGCCCAGCAGCAAATGTTGTCCCAAGGCGGCCTCCTGTCTCGAATGGGCACAGGCCGCGGCGGCGTGGGCAGCGAGCCCGGTTCAAAACGAACAAAATCCGCGGTTGGGCATCGTGCCCATTCTTCCCGTGCCCACCTCGTGCGTGCGGATCTGAGAAGGCCTCCTCCTCCTCGCTTCCCCCCTTCGCTCGCCGACGAGCTGGGCGGCCCCGGGGCTCGGGGAGGGCCCCGGAGGGCCGAGCACGGCACAGGGGCCTCGGGGCCCCGAATTACCCCTCGGGGCCCCCACCGCTCCGTGCGAGCCGACGTCCCCTGACACCCGCCGATGGGTTGTGCGTTTTCCAGCCGCGGCCCGAGAGGTCCCGACTGCGTCCCCGGGGGGATGAGGAGGGAGGAGGAGGAGGAGGAGGAAGAAAGGAGGAGGAGGAGGAGGAAGAGGAGGAGGAGGAGGAGGAGGAGGAGGAGGAGGAGGGAAGAGGAGGAGGAGGAGGAGGAGGAGGAGAAGGAGGAGGAGGAGGAGGAGGAGGAGGGAGGAGGAGGGGAGGAGGGGGAGGCGGAGAGGAGGAGAGAGGGGGAGGAAGACCAGGAGGAGGAGGAGAGGAGGAGGAGGAGGAGGAGGAGGAGGCGGAAGAGGACGAGGAGGAGGAGGAGGAAATGGAGAAGGAGGAGGGGAGGCGGAGGAGGCGGAGGAAGACAGGAGGAGGAGAAGGAGGCGGAGGAGGAGGCGGAGGAAGACCAGGGAAGAAGGAGGACGGAGGAAGCTCAGGAGGAGGAGGAGGATGAGGAGGAGGAGGAGGAGGTGAGGAGGAGGAGGAGGAGTAGGAGGAGGAGGAGGGGAGGGGAGGGGAGGAGGAGGAGGAGGAGGAGAGGAGGAGGAGGAGGAGGAGGAGGGAGGAGGAGGAGGAGGAGGAGAGGAGGAGGGGGAGGAGGACGAGGAGGAGGAGGAGGAGGAGGAAGGAGGACGAAGAGGAGGAGGAGGATGAGGAGGAGGAGGGGGAGGCGGAGGAGGCGGAAGAGGACCAACAAAAGAGGAGGAAAGGAAGGAGGAGGAGAGGAGGAGGAGGAGGAAGCGGAGGAAAGACCAAGAGGGGGAGGAGACGGGGAATCAGAAGGAGGAGGAGGCGGAGGAAGAGGACGAGGAGGAGGAGGAGGAGGAGGAGGAGGAGGAGCTGAGGAGGAGGGAGGAGGAGGAGGAGGGAGAGGAGGAGGAGGAGGAGGAGGAGGAGGAGGAGGAGGAGTAGGAGGAAGACCAGGAGGAGGAGGAGGAGAGGCAGGAGGAGGAGGAGGAAGAAGAGGAGGAGGCGGAAAGACCAGGAGGAGGAGGAGGAGGAGGAGCAGAAGGAGGAGGAGGAGGAGGAAGACCAGGAGGAGGAGGAGGAGGAGGAGGAGGCGGAGGAAGACCAGGAGGAGGAGGAGACGGATGATGATGATGATGATGATGATGATGATGCTGATGATGATGATGATGGTGGTGGTGGTGGTGGTGGTGGTGATGATGATGATGATGATGATGATGATGATGATGCTGATGAGGAGGAGGAGGAGGAGGGGGAGGTGACGAGCTCGAAACACATCCCTATCCCTAAGATCGGCGGGGCCGTTTCGCGGACCTCACCGAACACGGCCCCATGCGGATCAGGCCTGTCGCGGCCGAGCATGCTTCGCTTGAGCTTCGAACCTGGACTGTGGAGATGCTGGAGGTTGATGGAAGATCGGGAAGCACCAGGGGCGCTGAGGATCGGAGGGGGAGAAATCGCATGAGGAACGACCGTGGTTGGCAGCGGCGGCAGAGAGAGAGAGAGAGAGAGAGAGAGAGAGCGGCGGCGGGGACGAGAGGGCTTGAGATCGATAAGGGAGAGCACGCCCACGAGAAGTAGTGGCGGAAGGCATGGTGCCGACAGCGGCGACGGCGGCCTCTGTTTTCGCCCCTTCCAAAGCCGACGCGCCTTCTCTGGAACCTCTCGCTCGGCTGAACACTAGGCTGACCTCTCAGGTCAAGAAAGCAACTGAACCCACGGGCTGAGCCTGACCGCACGCAAAGAGCCGACACATTCGTCAACGTCGCCATCCTCATCGTCGTCATGGTTGTCGTCATCGTGGTCGTCCTCTCCATGATGTCGCCATCCCCTCTCTTCTCAGAGTGATCATCGTTGCCGTCGTCGCTAGCGTCGCCGCCGACTGCCCTCCTTCAATCGCTAGCCGTCGCACTTATCATCGTTGCCGTCGTGGGGCGAAGCAGGGGACGTCTCGGACCTCTGGCGATGACTACCCCCCAACCCTCTTACGGATCCTTTGGGGCGCACGTCGCGAACATCATCTGAGGCCCCCGAGGCCCAATCCGACATGGAGGGGCCCCACTGGCGAGCAGGCGAAAACCAAACTCAATGGCCAAACGAACTCGCTGTTATAACCTTGGCCCCGCTGAGGGCCTCTGGGGGAGAGGGGGGGATCGCAAGTCGTAGTTCCAACCACTCGCACGTTGGTGATCTCACTCGACTTCTGCATCGGCCACTCTGCGGCTTGGCCCATGACACTGACACTAGCACGTGCACGGAGAAGCAAACTGCAAACCCCTGAGCAGCTAACGGAAAACTCTAGATATACGATGCACACAAAGCATCGACCCTCTAAGTTCGCAGTCGGCGAACTCGTTCACTCCTCCTCCTCCTCCTCCTCGGGACTACTCTAAGCCCCCTTACTCAAGCCACTCCCTCCCGTCAAGAGCGCAGGCCACCGCAAAAGAACACGAAGCGAGATGGGCGAGAAGAAGACGATGAATGAGAGATGAGCGAGTGGGAGATCGACTGCAGACCCCATCATGCAGCCGAAGAGGTTGCCACGTGCATCGCAGGACAAATCGGCAGCGCGGGCTCGAGTTGCGAAAAACAGATCCTACCTAAGGAATGCCAGCGGGCCCATCGTCGAAGAGGCCTGCAATCGGGCACTGCTCAGTGCCCAATCCCTCCCCAGTCAAATACTTGGACCAGAGGTCCCGCAACACCATGAGCAAGCTCTCACGATGGCCATACAACTGCCACGAAACACTGAACCTGCTGAACGGCTTCAGGTGGCCGTTCCAGGACCCCTGCACGTTGGCGCGCCACGCGCGTGCTCCAGGCGGAACAAGATGGCGAATCTGCGCCTGGGCGATGTCGCCCGCAGGGATCCTCTTAGGAGGCCCGCCTCCACCTGGCAAAGCACCCCCCTTGCCTCTGCCCTTGCCCTTGCCCTTGCCCTTGCCCACGTGGGCTGGCTCGGGAGGACCTCGAACGGCGTTCCGTTTCGCAGTCCAATCTCTGGTGAAGTCGTCGCGCTCCTGCATGGCCCGCTTGTGTACGTTAGCTGTCGTCGTCCAGCTGTCGCGGTCCTCAGGGCAGAACAGAAGGTTCGAGCCCTCGACGTGCATGAAGGTATCCAGGGCAGCGTTCTGATTCGAGACTGACTGGACCATCCTGATCGCCATGATCTCCAGCAGCTCTTCCTCGCTCAGGGGGCGGTCGGGCTCGCTGAGGTTGTGCTTGATGAGCGCCTCCAAGACCTCGTACAAAGTGGAGCCCTCGGACGCGACCCCCTGGTACTTCATCAGCCTGACCAGCTGCGTCTTATTCATGCCAAGGAAGCACGTGCGAGCAGCGACTGCAAGGAGAGGCCCAGGAGGTCCGACGACACGAAGCCTACCGCCAAGGCCACCTGGCAACTGTCTCGGACCCTGATCTCCAAGGAGAAGACACTGAGAATAAACTGATACCCATTCCACTGGGATCGCCTCCCAATCGCTCGGGTCAACCACCGCATGAAGCAACTCCCTCAAGTC